TATGAATTCTCAATTATATCTTGACCAATCTCACATGTAAAGGGTTGATTATGAATGAAAAACAAGAATTTCAAAAGAAGGAAGATGATATATGGAAAAGGAACTAAAAAAAAAAAGGGAGAATTTCATAATGTGGGTCCCATCAATTAGGGATTTTTTTTGCATAGAGAGAGTGTCATGAAATGGTGTTATTAAGTCCACGTAAGCACCTTTACATGGTGGAATATCTATGTCAGATGTTTTTGTTAAGGTAACGGGCCACATGAGTAAAAATTAATGAAATGACTAAAAAGATGTTAGATTTCAAATTTTAAGGATTAAAAAATGAATTTTTTCAATCTAAGGACCAAAAAAGAACTTTTTTCAATAGTAGAGACCGAATCAAATATCAACCCAATGCTATAATAAGTCCACATCTGGCCTGAAATCAAAAAATGGAAAACAAAACCCTAATCCTTTGTCTACGTGAAAGGGGCTAAAACCAATATTTAGCCCCTTACCTTATAAAATTGATAGGTTTGAGCCCCTAATCTTATAATATGACACTTTTAACCCTTTACCTTATAAAGTTAGTAGGTTTTAATCGCTCACCTAACAAAGTTAGTAGGTTTTAACCTCTCACCTTATATTATGACACTTTTAACCCCTTATCTATACGAATCGAAGAAAATAGCCCTTATTTAACATCAGGTTTTAATGTTCTATTAGTTTTATTAGTTGACTGTCAGTTTTATTAACTAATTGTTAGTTCCGTTAATTGACTATTAACTCTGTTAGTTGACTGTTAGCTCTATTAGTTGACTGTTAACATCCGTTAGCATTCCGTTAATGAAATTAACAAATAAAATTGAATTTAAATTTTATATTTTTTATAACAGAATAATAACAGATGTTAATAGTCAACTAACAGAACATTATAACTTGATGTTAGGTGAGGGTTATTTTCTTTAATTTGTATCGATGATGGGCTAAAAATATTATAATATAAGGTAAAGGGTTAAAACTTACCAATTTTGTAAGATGATGGGTTAAAACTTACTAATTTTGTAAGATAAAGGGTTAAAACTATCATGTTATAAGGTAAAAAGTTAAAACTTATCAATTTTATAGGTGAGGGGCTAAATGTTGGTTTTTGCCCGTGAAACGAGGGAACTCGGACAATAGGCGGCGCACAAACAAGGCAAAAATCAACATTGAGCCCTTCATTTTACAAAATTGATAGGTTTTAGTCCCTTATTTTGTAACATGATAATTTTAGCCCTTTATCTTATAAAATTGGTAAGTTTTAACCTCTCACTTTACAAATTTGATAGGTTTTAACTTTTTACCTTATATTATGATATTTTTAACCCATCATCGATACGAATTAAAGAAAATAGCCCTCATTTAACATCAAGTTATAATGTTTTGTTAATTCTCTTCGTTGACTATTAACATTCATTAGTATTTTGTTATAAAAAAATGATATTTAAATTCAATTTTATTTGTTAGTTTTATTAATAAATGCTAATAGTTAACTAATAGAACTAAGACTCAGTTAACAGAACTGACAGTTAACTAACAAAATTGATAGTCAACTAACAGAACTAATAGAACATTATAACTTGATGTTAAATAGGGGTTATTTTCTTCAATTCATATAGATAAAGGATTAAAAGTATCATAATATAAGGTGAGCGGTTAAAATCTACCCATTTTATAAGGTAAAAAGTTAAAAATGTTATATTATAAGATTATTAGTTAAAACCTATTAAGTTTGTAAGGTGAGAGGCTAAAAGTTGATTTTAGCCCACAAGCAGAGGGTCTTCATTAAAAGGAGGAGGGGTTCAGCAGCCACCCGGGAAGATCTTCTTTCTTCTCCAACCAAAAAAGAAACCTCTCCAGGCCCCTTTGACTCCCATCTCACTACCATCTTTGCCGATTATCATTCTCATCATCATTACCAATCACCAAACAGCCACAATAAAAAAAAATGGAGGGCTTCTTTTCGGGAACCGGTTCTGCTCCTCTCGGATCCCATTCTTTGCTCATCCGTTCCTCATGCTCTGTTAGCTCCGTTCTTGAACTGATGGCCTGACATCCAGTAAAGGAGAGGAAGCTTCGCAGAAGGAGGGCTTAAGGAAGACTAAAAAAAGGGGAACGGAGCAGCCACAAAAGAAAAGAAGGAAAGATTTTTTTTTTGTCTTTTCTGGGTTCTACCGATTTGGTGGTCTGGATAGCTGTTCGGACTCTTCCCGGGGGAATCTTATGGGTGATGGGAATTTTTGCCACAGTTTGCCCTCGGCGAAGGAGGGCCGCGCGGATGTGAAAACCGGAGGGAAACGGGCTCTGTTGGTGGCTTCCGATTGCTCTTTGTTTAGGTAATTTTCTCTTCGTTTAGGTAATTTTCTGAAACAGGGAACGTAGTCAGGGTGATAGTAGTCAGGGTGATGAAACGAGATTCCTCCTTTCGAATCTACCGTTTTTTTTTTTTTTTTTTCTGAAATTTCCGCTTAGGTTTTCATGATTTGTGTTTGAATTTGTATGAGGTTGTTGAGAGATAAATGATATTTAGTAAATTGTTAGATTTGATACCCATTATGCCATAATTGTTTGTTGGGTTTGGAATTGGAAGCATGCATTCTGCGGAATTTGTTATCTGTGTCTAATGAACCCTACTTTCTAGCCAATAGTGATTTGATGGACTAGTGTTGACTTTCTTTTGAATGGTGTCTTTATTTTGTGTCTGATTATGAGCACTAAAAGGAGTCTACCGTAAAATTTTGTATAATTGTTCAGCATTTTTGTTTTCTTCCCATACTTAAGTTGATATTAGGTGGTTTAGGATTAGGAAAGATTGATATCTAAACTCTCAATCATGCAGTCACGAAATTTAGTAGAAAAGGAGAAAATCTCCCCTCTTATTTTCCTTTGTTTTCAATCTATTTGATCTTTATCTTCATAGATGAATTATCATGATAAATATTATTTTGTGGAGAATGGTAGAAACCAATTAAGTCAGGTTTGATCTAATTATTCTTTGTCTTTCCTTTCTTTGTGGCTAACATTTGCATTTTAGAGGAGGAAGACAGTCCACTTGCAACCATTGTTTGTTGTACATTTGTTCACTACTTGAGTTTGATCTAACTATTTTTATCTTCTCAAGTCTTGAGTTATTTGTGTCAATGTAGTCCCTGCTCCAACATTGGAGAAATGGTGGACAAAGATGAAGTTTGCGAGTATGACAGTGCATTCAAGAAGGCCAGGCTCCAGAAAGCTGATGAAATTCTCGGGAAACCATTGGAGTCTTTTAAACAAGAGGAGGTGGTTCAAGATTTGCAGACTATATGGTAATCCATGTTTAAGTTTTTCTGCCCATTGTGGTTTGCCTGTATGATTTCTTGTCTCTTTCTGTTTGGAGTCTTAGGGGTTTATTTAGAGTTTCGAAATTTGTATAGCTGTAACATAACATTAAAGAATGAATTCTTTGTGTCATGATTTCTTAGACTGGATTTTTGTTTGTGTTAATGCCAGTTTTGAGCGTATCTATTTTATCAAGAACCTTATGATACCATGTACTGATCCTGATGAGGAGTTGGATGAGAAGTTGGGTTATCCAGTTACCAAGCTGGAGGACATTGACAAGGTCACTCTTGTAGCACAAGAGAGGCTGTTATCTTTGATGGGAGAATTTGCACTTCCATGGGAACACTTCAATGAGAAGAAATCTGTCTTGACTGTCCAACATGTTCGTTTCACGTTTGAGAAATGGTATTGTTATTTACTCGAAGAGTTTTCAATGGCAGAACGCTTCCACCAATATACTTGGAACTTTTTTCTCAAGCTTCGTTTGTATCCTCTTCTAAGGTTCGTATTCTCTTCTGAGGTTTGAAAGGATTTTTATATCTGATAATTAGTTTTCTGTTCTATATTTATTATTTTCTTGAAATTTTTTATTACTTAAAACAATAATTGAATTTAGGTTGTGCACAAAATGGCTGAGGTGTGCCAGCGAAAATAAAATGTGCCATGGAGATCTTATGCATTGTATCTACTTCAAAACTGATATGGAGCCAAAACTTTTGATTCAAAAAGGTAAATTCATTATTAATTCTTTTTGTAGATTTACTAGGTTTTTTTGGAGATATACACTGATCTGGATAAATTAATTTATGTAGGTGATGGCTGTGGTTCATATAAAGGAGATTTAGAAACTATCAGGCACTTTTTGTTTGTGATTGTTAACAGAAGGCCACCAGAGGAGCTACAGATGGTTAACCGATTGAATTACTATAACTTCAACGACGATGTGCCACGTTATTTGATTGATTTTCTTAAGCTGTTGGATACCTTTGATGAGCAAAAGTACCATTTAGAATTTTCTTTGTCTGATTTCATTACTTTTTATGTGATTATTTTGCTGAGTTTTTTCATTTGCAGGCACATTGTGGATGTTGTCTTTAACCCATCTTTTTTGTGGAGCATTGAGAAGAAGTTCAAGCATCTAGATGAAGCATATATGTATTTCTTTGAAGTGAAATCAAGACTCAATAAAATAAATAAGCATCATTGGTGGCGATGGTATGCAGATTTTGAAAAGCTTCCTAAGGATCATGCTTTCAAGAAGGTGTTGGAACGGGAAAGCTCAACAGGACTTGTGCAGTCACACCAACGAGGATCCGTGCCTTTTAATCCAACATACCAAAACAATGCACAGTTGTTGCGTCTATGTCGCAATGCCAGGTGTCATGTTACTGAAATGGTAAGAGTTGGTTTCTCAATACTGTGTATTATTGCCATGAAATGCAGACCTGTATGGTTTTTATTTTGCTCTCTAATTGTTCTTTATTTGCTACCTAAATTTTTTGTAGTTTGCTGAATTTGAATGGACTCAGGATGATGTTTTGGAGGAGTTTGATGAGAAATTCAATATTCTCTCGAAACTCTCCCAAACATGTAACAAATACGCAATGGGTTTGCAGTGCGAACAATTTTGCGCAGACTTCCTTGAAAGGTTGGGATATATTACGAGAGAGACACTGTAAGATATTATCAGGTAATTGGAAGCTCTGAATCCATCCTCTAGGACAAGTGTTAGATTTTTTTCCCTCATTACTTTTCTAATTGATGTTGGATTTTGGTTTCAGGCACACTCTTGATTTTTCTGTGGTTTTTCATTCCAGAGGATCTCTGTTGGCAGATTGAGGGTAATGATTTTACAACATCCTTTTTTTTTTGGTTTCCCGCCCGGTATCCGGGACTTTGCCCCGACTAATCCGGATCCGACCCGCGTCGCGCACCTGGAAATGGTGGGTGAGTCTTTCAACGAAGGCTGCTGCGTACACAAGGTCTCGAACTCGAGACCTTGCTTAAGCTGGAACAAGCCGCTTATCATTTGATTCAACCCTTCGTTGGTATGATTTTACAATATCTAGTAACATGTAATATACTATTTAGTTGCTTTACCCTCTTATGACCTTCGTGCTTAATCCTGTAGTGTAATTGTGTGTGTAACTTCTCCCTCATGAAACGAGCTTTATGGTAGGATCTTGATCTTACGTAGGCAATGAATGTCTTGAGTTTTCTAACAGCTGAAGGTTTGTACCTGAAAGCTGAGTGACAGTGATTCTTTGAAACGTATATATATGCCATCTAATTCCCCTCAAGTAAGGTCCAAAAGGGATCACCAGCAGGTCTATCCAAATTTGCCTAGCACCAGCATTCCGCCGTTAGCCAGCACAAGTCATTAACTCAGAACAGTGCATTCTTTCTGGATTTGGGAGGGGTCATAGAATGCTAAGTATTGGACTTCAGTTCAGCAATCTATGGTACGTCAACTCGTTCAGTAAAGGCTTTTTAAAGTTCATTAATTTATTTTCATTCAGCAAACAATCGAAGAAACTGAAAATCATGATTACATGATAAATTCAAGTTGTGCGAGCTCAACATGCTCAAGAACACGTTGAAAACCATGTACTATATCCATTCGCAGTAAAGAACGTGAGAGATGCATTCATCAGCATAAAGATCATAAATACCAAAGAAGCCTGAATTAACAGTCAAAGAATGTTCAAAATAAAAGAGAAATTCATCTCCAACGTAGGTAATGAAGTTGCAAAAAGTAGCACATCATTATTGAACAGCCAGCTCAGTTCACTTGATATTTCACCCGAAGGGCCAAAGACAACATGATGAAACAGTATAGAGCAAAAGTGCAGACTTGCATGCAGTATAAAATTATGAGCCAAGTTGAAAAATATAACCCAATAAATTAATGAGAAACTAGAGATTTCAAAAAAAATTTATAGCAATACAGTAAGTTATGCACATAAAAGATATAGATGATACGAAAGAGACGTTCGATCAAGAAGACCTGCAAAGGGTTTATCTTCCCCAACAAACGACACATCAAGTAATCTGTCAGATGAAATGTTTTCTGCTATCCCCAGAATCTGGAAATCTCATTGTCCCTGGTTTTGGTATTAACATGAGGACGAGATGCTTTGCCACCACGTTCAGAAGCATTTAAGGGTACAGCATTCTCACATGATGCTCCTCAGATGTCTGAGACTGAGTTATTACTGTTACCAGGGACAAACTTTTCTTTGATTCATTGCAATCTATTCCAGAAACCTTGCTCTGTACATTATATTTGATTTTGTGAGGGGATGAAAGCAATAAGCATGACATATGATGTCCAGAAAGTATGAAAGCTGCCATGACCTTCTATGAACATATTTTCTATCTACTGATATGCAAAATATAGGAAAAGAATCATTCTAAATTGTGTCATTAGTCGTATTTGTTGCTTAACTAGCATGTGGTATGATCCTTTTTCCTGTAAAATCTGGAGAACGAAAGCCAAGGGAGTCCCTAGTCAAATAGGAATAAGATTAGAAGAAAATTAGATGTTCAACAATGTATGCCTATTGATGGGAGCATGCTTCAGATTTGAAGTTCCAAACATGCGCATATTCGAAATTGATTTGAACTTTTAAACATTAGCCTTGGATGGAAACGACAAGATGGGTAGGAGGTCCTCGCATGGTTAGGAAAAAATGTTTAATTCCTTAATGGTTGATATGTTATTATCTGTTGAGTTTCCGAGGATGAGTTTCCTTGGATTTTGTACGGTCACTACTCATAGTTCCTAATCTTTTTGTTTCTTTCTATTATTTGATATTTCGGTTTGCTACATCCTGTTTTTAATTTCAATTTTGAGTCTTCGAAACAATATATGTGTATTTTATCTGATTCATGCTTGGCATTCTTATGTCTTAGACATGATCATCTTTGTTGTCCTGAATATTGTACCATGGTCCGTATTTCCGTTCAGTTTTAAGACTTTCAGTGGCTGCATTAACTTGAACATTATTTATGTTCTTAGCTCTCCATCAATTTGACGTTTGCATTCTTGTTCGGATGGGATTTTAGACTTCTTCATGGTACCTAACCTGCCCCCCTTGTTACTTTAGTGTCAGTTGTGGGACATCAACATAGATTCTGGTCCTGTTGCAACCTTCCAGGTTCATGAGTACTTGAGACCAAAGGTATGGTTCCTACTTCCTAGCCTCTGTAAGGAACAAACAAACATCAGTTTATTTGTGCCTTGTTTTATCGGTGCTGATTATTCTGTTCTTGGTTGTTCCAGTTGTGTGATTTGTATGAAAATGATTCAATTTTTGACAAATTTGAGTGTTGCCTTAGTGGTGATGATTGCCAGTGGCAACAGGATCTTACAGTTTTGTTTTCTAACACAAGTCTTCTCTACTTGCTTGATTTCTTTGTTTTCTTTATTTGTAATTTTGGGGCATGTATAGTGATCTTTCATGTGATACAGCAATCTATTTCGTGTGTTTGGTTGTACTGTGGGAAGCAATGAGGCACCAATTTTTGGAAGCTAGCAAAAATCTGATGCGGTAAATTTAACTGAAGAATGGTATGAATTATGATTTTTCTGCCTGATTTGGGTTAAAGCATAAACATGGAATGCCCCGTGCAGGAGACAAGTTCAGACTCCCTCAAGACCTTCCAGATCCCTTTGGTAGTATAACACGTGTTGTAAGGTGAGGTCAGTGATTTCTTCGTTCCATTATTTCCTTTTGATTACCTTGCAGTTTTGGTTAAACGCTTATTTGCTTCCTAGGGAAGTCGAAAGAACTAACACATACGTTAATTGAGCTTGCGTTATATATTTTTCTTTCTTTTAATGGTAAAATCCAAACAGGAGCAGAAAGCCCTTCAGTGGATGCAAATGGAAATCTATTGATTTCACCACAAAATTGCTGCATTTAGCATGGCATCAAACTGAGAAACTCAATTGCATAGGACAGTCCAAGAAGGGAATGTGGGAATGTATTTGCTTGGTTAACCTTTTTGAATTGCTGTTGGAGAAGCTCCTTTTCTTTTCCTACCAACCAGTTAAGTTAAAAGCTACATCAATTCTCACGATTGAAGTGCCCCATAAATCTGTAGCGCAAGCTCTAGCATCAAGGTCGAAAATTGGCTGTCACATAGAATCTACGAGCAAGCAACCTTTTTTTTTTTTTTTTGTTTTTTTATCAGCAAAATAAATTTTATTAAATACACTGTACATTATATACCAGTAACAGCCACATCTACATTCCAGCGGCTTAACCAGAAACTGACCAAAACAGGAACACATGTTACATCAACCTGTGTTTCTAAATGTTGACCCTTATATCTTGTGCTGTTTATGAAACTGTTTTAAACATCTTTTATTCCTTCTAACAGCTAATGCACATTCAGCCGGTTTTGATTACCAATCATAAAAGGAAAAGGCGCACCCCTAAACCTTGTGCTTAAGCCATACAAACTTTACCCTGCACTGCATCTAGCAACGACTGCTCAAAATTCCTCATTTTAAAACACTATTCCTCCAATACCAAACATACCAAGATACTAGTGAAAAGATATAGGAACCCACCTCTCTCCCTATATTCCTCCCTAAACCAAATATAATAATTCTGTCGGCCCCCATATAGTGTTTGGCAACATCCCCTCCATACCCCACCACTCTAATACGTTCATCCAAACTAGTCATGATTCTCTATTCTTACAAAATAAATGGTTGCTCTCCTCCATTTGCTCCTTGCATAAACCACCCAGCAACTCCTTCCCTCACAAAGTCACCCTCCTACTTTGTAAGTTACCTTTTGTTGCAAGCCTGTTTAAGCATAATCTCCAACAAAAAAAAAAAGGCTTTTGAAGGAACAAATTTGCACCATATCATCTTACACTCCTATTCATCAAGAATATTTTCTCCTGGATCTGAAAAAGCATACGCTTTCCTAACCACATATATTCCTTCCACATCATGTATCTACTTCCATTTATACTCCCTACCCTGCCTTATACACACACTACCCAGAAGCTCCCACAACACCTCCTCTTCACTTATCCCTCTACCAATCTCCTCCGCCAATCCAACCTCCATCTCCAATAGTCTCCCTCCCACTCCCCCATTTCTTGTATCCTTCCATCCTTATTCAATGCCATCTCAAATAATCTAGGACACACATCCCTTAATGTTTTATTGCCTATCCAATTCTCCCTCCAAAAACCCACTCACTATCCATTTCCCACCTCCCACCTAAACCCCTTCACTACCATATCTTTTAAGTTTTTTTGATCTCCCACCAATACTCATGATGTCCTTCCAAATATGAGATATACATAAACCCTCCACAGAAGTATATTCACCTCCTTATTCCTCCCATAATATTTCTCCCACAACACTTCTTTCATAATCCCCATGACCCATCACCTAATCTATGCCACCACTGCCCAAGTAGAGGCCAATTGCTTCTACTTAAATCATATACCCCTAGGCCCCCCTTATTCTTAAGGTAACATACAAGATCCCATTTAACCCATGAAATTTTCTTTCAAGCTCAACCCCCCCATAAAAAATCCAGTTGTATATGCCAATTAACTTAGTAATCACACACTTCGGCAATAAAAACAAAGAAATAAAAAACTAGAATGGAAAAGAGTACCAAATTTAGTAGAGTGATGCAATCTCTAAAAGACAAAGTGGCATTCTTCTAGGCGACAAGCTTCGCTTGAAATCTATTAACAATTGGTTTCCACATCCTCTTAGTCATTCCACCCCCCCCCCCCAACAAGTAGTCCCAAATAAATGAAAGGTGTACTTCCAACTCCACATCTCAAAACACTTGTTGCCCCTCTTAGGCATCTGTCCAAAATGTTGAACCCATAAACATTGTTCTTACTAAAATTAATCCTCAATCCCAAAATCAGCTTGAACCATCTTAAAATAGTTTTCACCATAGTTATATTCTCACTATCAGCACAACCTAAAATAACTATTTCATCAACAAACTAAAGCAAAGATATTGCCATCCCCTTCTTGCCAATCTCCACCCCACACAACAATCCCTCAGTTTCTGCTTGTTTAACAATCCTATTGTTGACGATCACTTAAAATTTCAAAAATCATATAAACATGAATGAGAAATTAAGTGTCAACAATGGAAAAGAAAGAAGCCACAACTCATCCAAATTATAAAATGCGACAAGACATCTAACACATGGTCTGTGCAAAGATCATGGTCCGAGAGTACGATTAGGAGTGAAAAAAGGGCATATATGTACCAAACAATCCTTCGTACAAAACACAGTTGCATACTTCAACATTTGAAAATTTATTCTACATTTATCGTTTTTGATTTTGATTAAGTGGACTTAAAAAAAAAAAAGTAAATGGATGAAACTACAAAGCTTGAAAATACTTGGACTGAATTGAACACAATCAAGAACATGCATGCAAACTTGCTAACAAAATTAAAAGTTGAGGGGCTGATTTCATAAAATTTGAAAACTAGAGGACTGAATTAAAATTATTTAAAACTAGTGAGGCAAATTGCTTAATCACAAAAAGTCTAGAATGAACTAGAACTTAACAAAAGGCAATTTTGACTTTTTTTAACATTTACTTGATTGAGCAAATTAAAAAGGATTAAGACTAATTAACCAAAATAATTGATTTAATTGAATAATTAATTATGAATTGATTAAAATTAATTAAAATAATTAATCACTTTAATTAGCCTTAAAATATAATATAATTAAATTAATCTAATGACCTCAATTAAAGCTACATAAAAGTAATCAATTAATTTTAATTAAAATTAATTAAACTAATTAATCACTCTTTAAATCAATTATTAAGATTTTTATTATTTTTATGTCTTCATATTTTTATTTTTATTTGTTGGGCCAACTCACGATGCTAACTCAAAAGACAAACAGGCCATGATCCATTTTTAAAATCAATTTTAGCCCATGACACTTAATGGGTTGAGTCAACCCAACGCACAAACATGATCAATATATCAGTTCAGGTCGAAACAGATCAAACTGAACAAAAATTGGCGATTTTTAGGTTTTTTTTTTCTTTTAATTTTATTTTGTTCGATCAAGCTCCTGGTAGCAAAAAGAAATCAAACGCAGATCTGAAGTAAATTTCGTATGCAACAAACAAACAACCAATAATGAAGAAAACAACTCCAGTATTCTTAGATTAACATCATCATTTACAAAAATGCAGTCAACATTAAAGCAAACAATTTTTTTAAGAAAATTAAATGGTGAAATTTTGGGTGGCCAATCGGAGTCCGAACTAGACTAAGCCAATTTCAAATTTTGTAAATTTTGTGATTTTTTATTAATTTTGAATTTTTTAATATTTTTTTCATGGAAAGAGTAAACGAAATTAATGAAAAATCAAGTTATAACACCCATGTAATCTTTCACTAACCAACAAAAAAAAGAAAGGAGATAATAGTTCTCCCTATTGCAACCCTTTCCCTACCTCAATTTCCCTTGTTGGACTAACATTTACTAGAACTGATGCTCTTGTAGTTGATAGGCACTCTATAATCCATCCTCTCCATTTGATCTCAAATCCTAACTTATCCATCATCCAACCCAAAAAGGATCAATCCACACAATTGTAAGTCCTTTTGAAATCAACCTTAAAACACAAAAGTTGGCTGCCTCTTACTTTTTACCTAATCAATAATTTCATTCAAAACTAGTACATTGTCTACCAACTGACACCCTCTTAAAAAAGACTGATTTAGTATCAATGATTATTCCTGTCGTCACTTGCTTGAGTCAATTAGCCAACACATTTGCTAATAATTTATAGATGCACCCAATTAAGCTTACTGGACTATAATCTCTTAATTCCCTGGGACATAACTTCTTAGAAATCAAAGCTAAAAAGGATGAATTCAACCATTTCACTAACTTTCCATTCAAATGAAATTCCATGAAGAAATTCATGAAGTCCTTTTTTAAAGTATCCCACATAAACTTGATAAAATTATAATTATACCCATCTAGCCTCGGAGCTTTAGACCCTTCACAACTCTTCAGGGCATCTTCAATTTCGTTCATTGAAAACGGCCTCTCTTGCCAGTCCTTACTTTCCTCAAAAATCTTTTTGAAATGTATACCCTTAGGCCTTGGTCGATCCCATAAATTTGCTTGAAATAAATTACAAAAGTACTGAACTATCTCCTTCTTCACCATTTTTGGCTCATTTACCCAACTTCCATCACACAATATGTTTGTGATATTGTTTTGAGCGCATCTTCCATTTTCTATTTTATGGAAATACCTCGTGTTAGCATCCCCTAACTAAATCCAATTAATTCTAGATTTCTATTTCCATGTTGCTTCCCTCTTTCTCATAAAATCTCACATCTCTAGAAACCTTTCCTTTCTCTGATTTGCCTCACATTGATCTAAATCAAAATTTTCATTCTTCAAATCCACTTGTTGTACTTGTTTCGCAGCCCTTTCAAACTACACTTCAACATCCCCAAATAGCTCCTTATTCCAACTTTTTAATAACCCCTTTAAACTTTTGAGTCTCTATTTGCATCTATACCTTACATATCCTTCAACCTCATCTCATTCCACTTCTCATTCACCAAGTTCTTGAACTTAGAAATTTGTTGCCATTCATCTAACACACAAAATGGTTTTGGACCCCAATATGCATTCCTTGAATCCATAAGTATGGTGTAATGATCTAAGATAGATCTTTTAATACCCAGCTACACCCATTTGCTGCCCATGTTGCTCATTTCAATAGTTATAAGAACTTTGTCTAACCTGCTCATGGAAGTCCCATCCGATCGTTGCCATGTGAATCTTTGATTTGTCAACCTTATATCCACCAAGCTTGTTGTTTCAATGAAATTACCAAAATCCTTCATCTCTGGATTCTCCCTTGTTTTACCTTTTCTTTCTTTTAAGCATCAGACTGCATTAAAATCCTCTACAATCATCCAACTAAGCTCTTCCCACAACTTTATCTTTTTCTGTCTATCATTAAGTGCGTACACATTCACAAAATAGCACTTTTTCTTCTCGGGACCCCAATCTCCTGATATGCCAATATACCCCTCTCCTATAAACTCCATGTGTTTAACAAATTTTAATTTGTTCCAAACACATAATAAGCCTCTTGTAGCACCAACTGATTCCTTCATAACCTAATTAAACCCATCTAAATTCCATAGCAATCTACATAACCCATTATCAGTTACCTCCAACTTAGTTTCCTGCAAAAACAAGAAATCTGGCTGGTCTGTCTTCACCAATTTCCCCACTTCCTCTTCAAACCTCCTCTTAATCCTCTAACATTACAAGAAACAATTTTCATTGAAACCACAAAAACTTACAACGATTCTTTATCAATCCCTTCCCTTAATTTCCTTTGTAAAGCTGCCCTTCGACATCATCTTGCTCCTCAACTTCCAGCAATCTAGTTTGTACCTCTTCCTCATTTTCCTATACTTAAATGCCCAACCTTTTCCCCATATTAATCATCTTCCTTACCTCATGCAAATTCATCTCCCTCTAACTCACTCTATTCTTGTGCGCAATACACCCATCAGAAAAGGATACTTTTCCTGTCCTCTTTTCCTTCCCAACGGATTGCTTCCCAGAATGTAACCCACCTGTATTGATGAAATGCCTGAATCAGGTCAGGTCCAATTGTGGATTGCGGGAATGAAAGTTGAATATTATATTATGTGCAGGTTCCAATTACCTGGCTTTTTGCGAACTCTGTAGGCCTTTCAAGAATAACGATCGCCTCCCCACAATGGACTTGTCCTTGGCTTGACCCAAAGTGCGCCCATAGACTAGTAGAAGGAATGATAGAGCTGTGGCATGTTCTAGGCTGCTTCCCCCTTGTTTGAAAAGAAGCCCACCTAGAATATATTTTAAAGGAAAATTAGCTGATGAAGTGTGCAACTGCAAATTAATCAACCAAGTTTTTGACCAAAAAACAAAGAAAATCACCTACCTCGTAAGGAGACACTTGAGGTCCCTGACTCGGGCAACAATTAACACACCAACTTATTGGCATTGAAAAGAAATAGGTGAGAACTCTTTGTGTCAGTCATGTCCAACTGCCAACATTTATCGATAGAAGTTCTGTTCTTCTGAATATTCAACTGTCATGACTTGAAACATTCTTATTTATTACTCCGCAATTAATTAGTGCGGTGCATATGAAAAGTGAAAACAACATGACATTAATTTATTTATCGTCTGTTTGGCCCAATACTTTCTATCCCTTCTATTTTTCTCCCCCTCCTTTTTCTTCTCTTCATCTTCGGACAGTGGCGGCCCTAGCGGACGTACTGGTCCTCGTCTGTTTTCTGCTTCATTGGCTCCAGTTCTTTTCTGCTTTCCTCCTTTCGCCATTAGTTCTTCCTTGTGACAGAGACTATAGAAGGAAGAGAACCCGGAAAATCAGGACGTCCTGGTTTTCATATTTCTGTAGAAGGAAATTCACTTATTAGAGTTAGCTGATTTCATTAAACAAGAAATACTTAAGCAGATCCAAGCCTTCCTTTGCTGATTATAGAAAATTAAGAAAGATTTCATACTAAGTAGAAAAATTGAAAAAATAACAGGGAAAATGATGAAAAAACAACAAATTAAGCATGTGTATATTCAAATGATGATGATGAAAAGATTGATAGCTAACACACCTGAATCTCCACCAAGATATATTTGTACGCCTAATTCATGGTTCGGACAAGAGAACTAATCATGTCCTAATTCATATGTTCAATGGCAGGTTAAGTATTCTTTTTTATTAAGCATATTTCTTGCACTAGCTTCAATCGAGAATTATATTTAACCAAGCAAATATCATTTTAAATTTAATTACAACTACTAAAGCCATAACCTATACTTACCAAGCCCAATACCATTTCTGGTAGAAATCCTTGATAGAATCATTTTCAGTAACTAAAGTCTGTTATTTAAAATATAATCAAACAAGGATGGGATGGCTTCTGTTGGGATTAGGCCCAACGCCCTCTTAGGGCCACATGCAGAAAGCCCAACTACACACCCACAGGCCCAAGAGGAGGAGACATACCCACGTGGGTAGCACCACGTGGGCCAATGAGAGACTTACATGTGCAGATACATGTCAGTACTTGGGGCTATAAATACCCCCCAACCACCTCCGAAGAAGGTAATTAATCTCTACGCTTCTCTCTCTGCAATTACTCCTTGAGAGCATCTCTCTC